CCATATATATATATATATATATATATATACTATTATTATAATTAAAAGAATGCAAATTGAATTGAAAGGCTACATGCATGATTTATTATAAATAATTATAATATAAATATAAATATTTTATAAACATTCATTTTTGTATAATTTAAGTTTTACATTTATCATCTTTATTATTATTACTATAAATGTATTAAGAAGTACTTACAAAGCAACACATTTTAAATAATTTTTAATCTAAATATTTTATACACATCCCTTCGACTGACTTTCTTATATTAAATTGAGGAATACTTGAAAGTCTACACATATAATTTAAAAAATACTCTATATATAATAATATATATTTTGTTTTTGATTATTATAATTATAATATAAATTAAAAATCTCCTATCCCAGCTGTCCAACCTGCAACACAGCTGGGCGAAGGCAAACAGATGCACAAAAAAAATTCACATGCAACATAGCAGGAAGGTTACAGCCAATGTAATATGATGCTCTCCAACATGTTGACAAAGCAGTTAACAGTACAAGCTCAAACAACGGCAAAAATATGGGGGAGAGCTGCAAAATGAATGATTGCAGCAACCTTTAATGACCAGGCATCATACAGGGCTGGATGGCTCCTTGTGTGTGTGTGTTCTGTCTCCCACAGTACTTCACAAACACACACACACACAAACAGACACGCACATACACACACACACACACACACACACACACACACACACACAGAGACACAGGCAGGCGGCGCACACACACACACACACACAGAGAGAGACACAGGCAGGCGCACACACACACACACTCTCTCTCTCTCTCTGGATGGTGTCGGTCTGTTCTGAACACTCTGATGTGTACTTCATACAGAGCAAACAGACATGTCTGATAAGAAAGACAACTCAGACCCGCTGGGAAGAACAAAGTGAACTTGGGACAGACAACAGCGACTGCAGAGACAGGTGAGAACGGGAGGTTTGATCCAAATCGCCATCAACAGCTCCTTAAGATTGGCTGCAAAAACCTGTTTTCATGGTCCACCCTACCACAGACAAATATGCCTTGTGAATAGATCACAAATCTATTACAACAAAAGCTGTCTGGCCATATCTGTGCATCCCACATGCAGGTTCTGTCAGTGGTTCAGCTGCTAAAGACTTTCCCTCAGGAAAGGATTTCTCAGCTGTAAGTCTGATGGCATGAGTCGCAAACTCGCCTCCTGATCTTTCATGTTTCTGCCGATCATCCCTGAGAGAAAAGACAAATCTTAGGCTGAAAGTGTTCCAACCAAACAGCAGTTACACAACCAGCACTCATTAATATTGCAGCAGCTCTATACTGGGACACAGGAACAAGAGAGAAGGAGTAAAAGAAAAACAACCAAAGAGAACATTTAACACACATATAAATGTTTACCCATAGCTATCTAAAATAAGTTGGTCTGTCAACAATTAAAAATTGTAACTACTGTTTTTACAATTACAGTTTTTAATAGTTTGACAGCACAACATATTTTAGATAGCTAGGTAAAAGTTTATATTGTGTGTGTGTGTTACCAAGTTCACTTTGGTAGATCTCCTTATCACAAAATAGTTGCATATATTTAAAAATTTGCAAAACTTAATTAATTAGACAATGGTTTTAGAAGTCAATCCAAAGTGGAAAACTTAAAAAAAAAAAAAAAATTATA